GGACCATGCGACGTCTGGGGAATACAGCGGGGTGTATGACTTTCCGTTTAAGCGCTTCCAGGTAGGTTTTAAGGGGTTTCGCTGAGCCGAGCGGGGCTTTGTCATTCAGCAGAATCACGTTTCGTGCTTCTCTTGGCATTGTAGCCTTAAGGAACCGAAGTTTCTTGTTTCTGAATCATTTCCAGCGAATGTAATCGCTTTGAAATAGTTTGATCACAAATCTTTCGCAGAACTTGTCTCTCGTAAACTCGTAACGTCGACTCATCAGATGTTCTCATCGTCCATGCCTCTACACTATGTATATAACAGAACGAGGATGATGAGCGATTTGTGGAGTTTGGTTTTTGTTCGTCGAGAGAGGACTTTACTTTTCAATTGCTACTCAGTCCGAAGTCCCACTTATTGGCAAGAGTTATTCTGTGTTGAATTTCGAGAAATTATTTTGCCATTGATGACTTTAGAAATTTCGTCTTGCCCTCGTTTAAAGATCCCTAAGTAGGGTAATTCAAAGACCGACCAATTCAACCTTTATTTGTTTGGCGCTATTATTATTAATATATATAGTATGTAATAAGAACACCATACAAATATATATAATATTTGTAGCTTATGTAAGCAATAGGAAGCATTTTGATCGCCACCACATAAGTAATCCAAACAATAAACGTCATTAAAATGATTTGTGGTGTTTTGATTTCATTTCTTCATTTCTGAATCAGTACAAAGACGCCTAACAAACTCGACCACAAAAAGTTCAATGGAAATCTTGAAATCTGTGTTTTTAGTTGCCAGACAGGTGCTTGTACCCATAATATTTTAGAGGCGAACAAAAAGCGAGTTGTAAAACGTAAATGTGGCAGACGAAAGCGAAGAGCGACGAACGAGTGAATGTGGAACATAATAGTTTGATTAATATACATGCGAGTGTGTATATACAGGTATATATGTATAACCATATATTTTCGAACGCTTGCTGCACTATTAAAAAGTATGAAATTGAAAAAGAGGCAAAATGAAACCAAATGGCTATCAAAAGAAAAAGTGTAACATGGAACCAAAGCATCACGTTCGCTGATAAAAGTGAGCAAAAGTAGATGACAGATAAAATGAATTAATGGCACAGCCTACAAGCGACCGCTTGACCGACTGACTGGCTGACTGATGGCGCTATTAGTCGACCAAACACTTGTGTTCGTCGATTTTCATTAGCATTTTATGATCCGCGGTCATTAAAGTCTGCCGCGTGTGTGTGGAAAATATGACAGAAAGTGATTTTTGAGCACAATTTTCAATTGCGTGCGCATGTGTGTGGCAAACGAGAAGAAATAACTGTGATTGAAGATAAGAGAGAAATCTAGAATGCCGAGGAATAGGCATATATGTATATACATACGTGTGCGTATGTAGAGCTATTTTTAACCCATTACATTTTTTATAAACTTTCATTGAAAAGGCAGTAAATTGAAGGATTAAAACGCTAAGCACGTGCTGGCAGTAATGATTTAACTAACATAAATGGTTTGTGATGAGATTGCGGTCATATTTAGCTTATAATGTTCGTTCGGTTGCTGACGTCACGTTAGCGCATCAGTTGTTAATGACAAACATCTTCGGTTACAAGATATTTGGAATTTATTGTACGTCAATTTCTTCATATCTGAACAGTGTACTTTATCACTAACTCATGTAAAAGCATTCAGTGAGGGTTGTGAAGTTATCGAAACTTTGATTCATGCGAGGCGTCTATCCACTTCTGTTAATGACGATATCATCGAAAAAGTTAAGGAAACAGTGCTGGAAAGCCGTCGGGTTGGCATCACAGAGACAGTAGAGGATATCAAGAGCTCCTATGGAACGATTCAATACGTTTTAGTTAATGTTTTCGGTAAGATGCATGACAATACTCGACTTACGTTAAGGGATCTGATTATGAATAATTTGAAAAGGTCTTAATCAAGGTATTAAAAGAGCGTTAACAACGTTGTTGACATTCATCAAATACAATGGGCTTGTGAATACGACATCCAACTGTCCAACAATATAGCGGATGGCCGAAACCGAAAAAGCCAAAATTCTCTGAAGAACATTCTAAAGCTTAAAACAAGTCTAAGAAAGTTATGATAAATCGCTGGTATGCTTTTATTGATCAGATGCTAATTTCAGTACCATAATTGACTCAAAAGGAGTTTTTGAAGATGATAATAAAGATTTATCTAAAATTACGTTAAAATGTTTTTTCTTAATCCGGGTCAAATTTGATCAGATGCTAATTTCAGTACCATAATTGGTTCAATTGACAACAGCTGTGCCATTCCATCTGTTATTTGCTAATTGTTGAACTTGTATATTGAGCTCTCTTGTGATCGACCCTAGTGGGCTTGATATGAATTCTGCCTCGGAGTGAGACGTGTCCAGATGTAGAATATACTCATGTGCCTACTCCGCAGTCCATTTTGGAACCGTCGCTGTAGACAGAGATGTTATCTTCCTCCACTATTATGCCCCATTTCCATTCCCGTCTAGAGGGAAAGTAAACTCATAAACAGACTAATCAGATTTGTGGGTCAAGATCGTCTTGAAAACCTTAAGTTTGAGATTAACTAATACAATATAGATCCTTTTTAATGAGTAAAATAAGCTAACTTAACTTTTACATTGACAGGTGACAATAATATCAAAGGCTCCGCTACCTCCTACCTTCCTTGCAGCTGCTGTTGAGTATAGTATTACCGGACACTTATTTCCTAAAATCAACATCTCACTTATTTTAAAAAGACGACACAATGCCTTAAGCATAAATGAGATCATAGTGTAGTACTAACATTTTCTTCAAAAAATCGTTTAAAATCAATTTCAAAGTTGTTTAGGCAGTGCGTCTCTTCTTCTGATGCTAGTGGAAAACAAAAGCAAATTCCAAACTTCAAATTCAAGGAAAGGTTCAAACAAAGCATCCTCTAAGTGAGTTGTGTTGCTCAAGTGCCTTCTAATGCCCAGCGAAGCAACGCAACAAATAATTAGAAGGCGTCATTTCCTTTCTTTCATAGGAAGCGCGGCATATTACATACATACATAACTTCGTATACGCATTTCATTGTTATTTACTTTCATAGAACAAATGATTGCCACCGCTTTGGGCTGCTGTGTGGTGAACCTTTTGTCCAAGCGGTTGATTGATGTTATTCAAACGCATTTACAGATTTACCACGGCGCGGCGTTTTGTACTCAACTACATATCGACTTATATCAGTGTATTTATGTGTGAACGTCGCAACTATCATTAAAAGGCATGAGAACGGAAATAATAAATTGAACAGAACTTTTTACACGCGGCTATCGGTTGTCTTATATAACTAATAAGAATTGAGTTGCACGCGCAGCACTGCGGCGGTTTCAATTATACAATATATTGGTATTGGAGATACTCACTTTGCTGTGTGTACTTAAAAGCGATATCTGGGAAGTTATTATAATTGCGCAAATTACACCTGGGGCTTGTGTGAAATCAATCAATTAATGTAATCTGTTGGAATGCGTGCTTACAGAAAGCGAATGATCGGGTTGCTCGCTTAAGTCTTTTGATTGTTGAGCGATTTAAGCACTTTACGATGAAAACATTAAGACTTTACTATGAAAAATATTGAGTGTCAAGAAAGAATATTTAAAAATTGAGTGCTTATTGATACATTTTGAAAAACACAGTTGTCTAAAAATTTGTAAAGTGGTATGTAACAAGTACTTTTACGTATGATAATCTATATGTATATATGTAGGTAGCTACTGAGTACAGTATACTATCAGAATAAAAAATTGCAATTGAAACTAGAAATTTATATGATGCTATTAGGATTTTGCAAGGTCTTTTTTATAAGTATATATATAATACACATTTTGATCAATACAAAAGGTTCAAAGTCAAGTGAAAAATCCTTATATCTGGTTTATTTGGGTCTTGACTAATTGCATTAACGTTTGACATTACTCAGTTATAATGGGGAACACGTTTAAATGGAATTTTATGAAGATAACATACACAGTGACCCATATATTGGGCATAAAGAATGGGGACGGGGTAATTCGTGGACCTATATTCTGTCCAGGAGGATGGAATCATGTGTAGAAGTTCACACAAGAAACGATTCCTTAATGTATGGCTGAAGCAGCCCCATCTTAGACCAAGTATACTCTGGGCAGTCAAAGAACATCCGTTTTAAGGCGAGCTAAAGTAAGAAAGCGAAGCATTCCCTCCACATTATTGTGTGCTGGGTATATGTAGGTATGAATCCAAGTCAAAGCAAATTTCTTCAATATATCACGCAAATGCACAGTGGGATTTCAGGCCTGGAAAATAAACAACTGGCCAGATATTCACTAAATCTTGGAAAAGACCGTGAAAAAAGGATCGTTGAACACGACCTTTTCGTCAATTTTAAAGCTGATTTTGACAGCATGAAAAGGAGCTGCCTATATGCTGAAAAACTAATACGGTTATGTAAACTGACGTGGAGCAATAATACCAAAAGTTTCGTCAGGATCGGGAAGAATCTCTCCGAGCCGCTGCACTTGGAATCACGAATTGAAGCCAAAGTGCGAAAAGAGGAAACGACTGGCGCGCTGTTGTTGATTCGGCGATGCCTACGCCAGTAAAGAAGAAGAAGAAGGTAAATATTAAACCGATCATATTCATTTTTGGCAGAAGGGTACCTTATTATCCGAAAAATACTTTCTATGAATTTCTGTAATATGTCCCACAGATTGGCTGATGCATTCGGAGAAAAATCAGCCAATGGCACTTGGGTGCACGTTTTCGATAGCTGGGGTCTAAACCTCTTAGAGGGAGAAGCTGCGCCCATTTTTTTTTTTATTTCAAACCACTCTTCCTTGTTTTTAGTAGAAAACAGTACACAATTATCACTGTGAGGCATCAAGAGGCAGCAAGTCGTCATTGCAACCAAATTTCCGAATTCAATTGAGTTACAACTATTTTATGTAAACAAGCTTACCTGCTTCAATTGCCACTGCAGTGTGTCCACTTGATTTTGCAACAACACCACCTGCACGTTGGCTGCGTTGTCGTTGTGTGCCTTAAAGGCGGGCAGGCGCTGTTCGATGCAGGCGGCGGCTGTGGTGCGCGCGGCAACTGGCGGCTTTGTGCCCGCTGCATAATGAGCCGCTAGCGTTGAACGTGTGGCAGCCACAGGTGGTTTCGTTGTGACGGCGGCATTACCACCATCGTTGACATTCTTAATGTCATCTTCATCCTCAACAGCGAACATGAGATTGCCATCCTGCAAAAGCAAAAAGGAAAACGAAATAAGATAAAATAAATGTTTTTTGTTATTTTTTAGTAAACATTGTGCAATGTGGCATGCAAATAAATGTGCGCTTGCGTAGGTTTTTCTGCGCTGCCAAGTAAGTGTATATATATTTATATGTGTGTGACAACAACAAGTTTTTTTAAGCATTTCCGACACACTTCCTCTACAAATTAAAAGCGTCGTGGCAATATGTTGTGCCACTTGAATGCAGAAAACTCGTTCGCTAATGCCAAAGCACACAAAAATATTCACATATACATATATATATATATTATATATGTACACACATTTAAATTTGGGTAGTTAAGCTCACGTGTAGCCGATATAAAAGTGGTTTAACTTTTAATGAAAATGTTTTTTTTTATACCCTAAACAGGGTATATTAAGTTTGTGGCACCCAGCAGTACAGATCCTATAAGCCATATATATAATTGATCGGCACGACGGCATGGGTTAGCCTTGATCATCTAACGCGAACAAGTCTCTCAGTTTGTGAGATATCGATCTGAAACTTCGCATGCATCCTTTTCTCCTCAAAAAACTGCTCGTTTGTCGGAACCGTCGAAATTGCTCGGATCGGACTACGACAGCCTATAGCTGCCATACAAACCGAGCGAGCGGCAACAAGTGCTTGTATAGAAAACTTTTTTATTTGAAAATATATCATCACGAAATTTAACATGGGTTATTATCTAACATAACGGTATGTTTACTGAAGAAAAATTTAAAATCGGACCACTATAGCTTATAGCTGCCATACAAATTGAACGATCGAACTCAATTTCCTAAACGGAATATTTAGCTTTTGTGTAGGGTATTCAAGCTTCAGTGCAGCTGAAGTAATTTTTTATTGTTGTTTTTGTTTTTCTTGTGTCATTTTTTGGCTTTTAAACCGAGCGTATTGTGGTGTCCAGCATTAATTATGTTATGCTACAGTTGGAATGTTAAATTAAAGTTATTGTACAAGAAATGCCTGCCTTGGTACACACATACATATATATATATATATATACATACACATAATTGAGTTAATAAATGCAAGTACGCGCCTGAATTATGTTGTTTGAATTATCAAATAAAACCACCAACACACACACACACACACCAGTCAATCTTGTTAACAAGTGTGAAACCGGCTTAGGGAACGGTCATATTTAAGTGCCAAAATTAACTGCATATGCACTCATACTCTTATATTCAAAAATATTTTATTTTAATTTCCGCATAGCTGTCATACAATAATACCCTTAGTTTGATAGTTTTTGAAAGTTAATAATTGCTTGATTAATTTTTGACTGACTTTGTAGCTAAATGTGGCCTGACAATAAAGAGAATGTGTTATAATTTTACTGTAAAAATATAACAGTTGCAGTTGTGCAAATTAGTGCGAATTTTTTAAAAGCTATTAGTTCCATATTTACTTTCACTTAGCCGTTTATTAAGCTTTCTTTTGCAAAAAGTTGAAAAAATTGCGTTTAGTTGGCAACCGCAAACTAATTTTAGGCAAATTTGTAATGAAAGCATTCTAGATGCTTGGAATATGGTTTCTGTTTGAGAATATTCATAAAATTAAAACTTTTGTTTGTGTTAAATGTCCACAAGGTCTGCAAAGTAGGACTTCGGGGCGCTGATAACCTTAAAATTTCCTCCGACTCAAATTGCTGTCCCGAGTTTGATCGTTTTAGTTGAGAGAGGTCGCATAGTATGAGTATACGATGGATTGGAGGGTAGTTCACATACTAATTCGACTAATTTGGCTATGGCGTAGGCAGAGGAGTGAGTCTAGGCGTGGTGGAAGAGGTGTTGATGGTTTCGTAAATCAAAATCGTTTGTACCCATTGCGCCGAGAGCGTGCTTTTTCCAAATATTTGTCTACGGTATATGATTCACGAGGTCTTTTGAGATGTTATCTCGTAAATCTTCAATAAATTGTCTGCCAATGCGTGATCATGGACTTTTAACAGCTTATCGTCGTTAATAGCCGTTTTCATAGAGCCTCGGGCATCAAAAAATAATCTGCGACCACGTTCTCATTAAACAGATTTTTGACGGTCCTCATGGGAGGCGAGAGATTACCATACAGTATTCAATAGCTCCTTGGCTTCACTGCACGATTCTGTTTGAATAGAATCATGTATCCATAATAATACAATGTTTTCGTACTTTTAAAATCAGTGGACATATCTGCGCTCTCACGAGGTTAGAATAGAATAGAATAGAATATTAGTTGAAATAATGCACCGCGATCTAAGGTCTATTGTGCCCTCTCCTATATCACATGACCTCCCAGAGCCCCAGCAGCCTGAATAATTCTAGGAGTAGGCGCTAGTGAGGTGATGTGATCCCTGCTGATGTAAGCAGAATCCAGGGCCTTAAGCCTTTTTCCACAGATTGCTGAGCAATCCAKTWTTAGGTGTGCTGGTGTTTCCTGTTCCAGGACTTTATTGTTATTGGTTTGAACACATTGTCGAAGCACTTTTGCCACTCTAATTTGAAGAATATCCAAAGCATCGTTCTGAACGCATCAACTGCCTTTTTAGGTGTCAAAAAAGGTTGACATTTTACTTTATTTTTTACATACAATTTTGTAGCTTCTGTGTATTCTGATCAAATCGATGTTTTGAGTGCTCAAAATTGCAGCTGTTTCAGTCACTTAGTCAGAGCTCGCAAATAAGGAAGAGTGATCTGTATTTGGCGGTTGGGTTTCTCAATGCTCAATGTGACACTTAGTACATATTTGCTGTTCTGCGTTGTTCCAGTAGTATGATTGCGCCATGTCCAGTCAACCATCTGCTTCTTGTGCTAACAATTTTTACTGGATTCGGCTATTTTTGAAACACCCATTATGTTGTAAATGATTCAACACCTGTCACGTTGTCTTAAACGTGTTTTAAAGCACAGTTATCGTATTTTTTAAATTTCTTTCGACTAATCGTCACAAGACTTTTTTTAAGCCGTCGACAAATTGTGTGGGATCAAATGCGAAGAAAATTTCTATCACCAAATACTCATGCAATATTAAATATGGGCCTATAGTTGTCTCAATTTCATGATATCTTACAATAAAAGTTTGCGAACAGCATCAATAATGATTTTGTACGACCTTCACTACATTCGTCTTGGAGTGATCTACGACCTCCACCAGACCATCTATAAGCTTTGGTACCTGATGGATCCTCACTGTCAAGAATTTAATTATGTTCAGCGATGCACTATTGCTGAGTTAATCCATGTCGAAATTTGTGAAAAATAATGGCGAGAAAATATTCGGGATTTAATTCCATTTTATAACCGAAATGAATATTTTTAGTTACTTTAAATTACACAAATAGCGCTCGGATATCGAAACGCTCTGTCGTATCTCGTTTTGGACGAGCTTCGACCTCTTCAACTGATGAAAATATTAAAGAAGTGAAAGATGTGGTGCTTGAAAATCGTCAGTCAAGTTTTAAAGAGATGGCAGGAGAGTTCGACATCTCCCTCGTTGAATTGATTTTGGTGGATATTTTACGTATGAAACGCATTCTTAATCGACTCGCCGCTATAAAGCTGAATTTTTTTTTTAAAGATTACTTACACAATGCAATGATTACATGCAAACAAGTCAATAATCATCGGAATGGAGGGAAAAAACTGAGGTGATGAAACGAAAAAACAACGCCAAAACCACTCAAAAATCAAAGTGTTGCTCATTGTTGTTTTTCGATATTTGTGGTTTGATGCATCGTGAATTTGCTCCCGAAGGACAGGCGGTAAATAAGGAGTTTTATTTGGCCGTATTGAGACATTTGCTTGAGAACATCTGTCGAAAACGGCAAAAATAAAATTTCCAGCTTTTTTATTCCAAAAAGCACCCAGCTACCAAAACTATCTATGAAATTCAGAGCTCACGGCTTACTCAAAAATCACACTGAATCCTCTTCCGAAGGCATTACGTGAGCCACTTAAAATAAATGCTATTGCAAATTTTATTTGCACGCACTGTTTGTTCCGCGTCCTCTCTCCCCAGAGTGATGTGTCATCAATTGTCATTGTTATACGCTTATTTGTTGCACTTATTTGGCACACCAGATCAAAAATGGGGGAAAAAAATAAAAAATGCTTGCGCCAAACAATGAAAATGTTGCTTGCGCTCATAACAAAATTTCTGCATTGTTAACAATTTAAAATGGTTGCGGCTGGAAAAAATTGCTCTGGCACAAATTATGACCAACAATTTTGTTGTCGTTGTTGTTGCTGCTGTTAGTGTTGCTGTCGACTATTTACTGCCGCAATTGCCGGTAACAACCCGGCAGTAAGCGATCCAATTGCTTTCGCATCATCAACAGAAAATTCAGACAATCGAACTGACAGACATGCTGTGTGTGTGTATGTCAGCAACAAATGTTGACTTGCATAAAGATTCATAAATATAGTTTTTTGTGGAAGTCGCACAATTGAGCAAAAATTTGTTTTGTATGAAAGAATGGAACCATTGAGCTATTTTTTTTTTGTGATATTAAGCCGCATATTTATCAACATACATACACACATACGCATTATTTATAATCATATATAATTAATTAATGATGATGCGTAATTTTTTTTTAAAGCAAATCTGCAATGAAGAGAACAATATACCATATCAACTCGGTATGACTGCTTTCTGGGTCACAATTAATTAATAATTTGTTATACATATATGAGCTTAAAAGCATTTGCATTGATTTCAAATTAAAAAGCAGTGAATAACTTTTCTTCAAAAATTATACAGAACGAGTTTGATTGCGAATTGAACCCCAAAAATGCTTAACGAACTCGTTTGCTGCTAATTAGGTTAGGTTAGGTTAGATTAATCTGTTAGGCTAATAAGCCACGCATAGACTAGTTTGGTCCTTTGCGATATCAAATGCAGTTCAGTTGCTAGATCTATAAGGAGTAATCATCCTTTAGGATGCCTACGCTTGACGCGAGTTTTAACAGACTCAACG